TCTGAAAAAGTCTCTCAGATTTTGAAAAATATATGTGTTATTATAAAAACATTATATGAAAGGAAGATTTTGTCTCCTTCACAGCCCACAAACTCTATCCTTTCTTACCCTCATTCCCTACCAAGCCTATGGCTCATTTTCCTCCTTTTGTTAAGATGTTCCATGCTCTTAGCTTGCAGAGCTTCATAAGTACTCTTCAGTTATTCTTCTTATAAATTGATTTGAAACACTTGGCTTCAAAGATTATTTTTGGTCACCTCCACTATTCCCTTTCTTAAGATGCCTCTGAAATCCCCTCTCAACACCACTCATCTCAGATGGTAGAAAAGATCGTCATCCTTAGTTTTTCCTTTCCCATTTCTCTTGTGGAGTATACCCTTTCGTAAATCTGATCTTTTACCTTTCTCAATTTATATCAATTCCATAATCACATATATTTCTTCACTCCCAGATCCCACAGACATTACAAACAACTTAACTTCATGTTAAACATCTCTATGTGTCTCATTTTTCTGTTGACTTCTGTGAAGAGCCCTTGACAAATAATACATTTCCCTGTCTGATTCAGTTTGTTTATAGTATCTCAACTGAATAAAATGTTCCAATCTTACAGACCTCTGGGTGCTTTGATTTTTGCAATAAATATTTCTTACTACAGATGAATCCCAACAGTATTTCATTAAACTTTTCTAATAGATACTAGTAAACTTGCTTAACTAATGGATGTTTTTGGTATGCAAAGAGTTACTCAGAGGAAAGAAAGAGAGTGAGTAGGACTGAAACTACCTTACAGAATCGGAATTAGTGGGTGAAAGAGGGTAAGAAGTTTACTCAAGCTCACTCAGCTGGCAATGTCAGAGCTGCATTAAATCCATCAGCACCCACCTTGAGAGTGGGAGGCTACAGTGGGCTTAGCAGGAAGCATACCTGGGTGAACAAGGACTTTCTCAAAGATGAGTTAATTTCAGACCACCTAAAAACTCTGATGTAATAATAGAATCAAAGACACCAAGTGGATCACAAGGTCAGGAGTTCGAGACCAGCCTGGCCAACATGGTGAAACCCCATCTCTACTGAAAATACAAAAATTAGCCAGGCGTGGTGGCAGGCGCCTATAATCCCAGCTACTAGGGAGGCTGAGGCAGGAGAATCGTTTGAACCCAAAAGGCAGAGGTTGTAGTGAGCCAAGATCGTGCCATTGCACTCCAGCCTGGGCGAAGGGAGAGAATCAATCTAAGAAAAAAAAAAAGAGAGACACCAGAATGTACTATTCCTAAAATTTTTGAAGTCAAGGAGAAACTAGTGTCCTTGTAGATCGGATTCATTTCCCATGAAATGTGGGGTTTAGGCCCAGCGCCATCATATCTGCATATCTTGGCACATATATTTTTTTAAAATATAATCACACTCTTACCCTTTTAAATTGCAAAAATGTCGCCTCTGACTACCTGCCATTAATGGTAAGTAACGTTCATTACAGAAGCATATCTTTTCAAACCCCAACACTGCCTTCTTTACATTCTATAATATGAAAGTTAAATAACCGAAATAATAACCCTGCAATTACTATTGAAAAAAATACCAGCTCTGCTGAAATGAAACTGGATATTTTTCACTTGTTGTTGTTATAGAATATATGTGTAGAATACAAAAATAATAATTTGCACTCATCCGACTTCTTTCACTTTAGCGTCTCAAATCCCAGAGTGTAAGTGGTCTCATTAAGTTTACCAAACCAATTTAACTCTAACATGCTCTCGAACCCCCTCTCCAAGTCCACTGAGGCTTTTCTGTCACGAATGCTGAACACTATCATCTGAAATTCTGAGCATTCTGTAGGTATGTTTGACCTTCTGCAGATAAAACTCACTTAATCTTTAAGTTATATATTAAAATAGACAAAACTACCTAAATAAAAAAGAAAAATATGACTATTGTGTATTTCCCTACATCTACACACATCCACAAACACTCACATGTACAAAATAACTTAATTTATGTAGAATTGGATTTATTAGAATGAGGAAAGCTTTGGCTATAAGAACAGCTAGAAAAACAAGAAGAAATGCTTTATCTGGATCTATGGAAACAAAGTCCATTGGTTTCTAAGCTCCATTCATTTAGGCAACAAGTGCTACCCAGATATTTATTTATTTATTTCTGTTCTGCATTTCATGTTAGAAAATGCTTACTTTTTTTTTTTTTTTTTTTTTTTTTTTTAGAGACAGGGTCTCACTTTGTTTCCCAGGCTGGTCTTGAACTCCTGGGATCAATTGATCCTCCCACCTTGGCCTCCCAAAGTGCTGGGATTATTGGTGTGAACCACCACACATGGCCAATTGTTCAGGTATTCATTGAGGGCCCATTATATTATAGGAACTATGGAGGATACAAAGATAAGTTATTCCTCAGAAATATACAAATACTGAATTAATTCCAGCACAAGTGGAGTATGGTAAGTTCTATGAAGATGAGGGCAGTGGAGATAGCATCTGGCTGTGTATCTCCAGTGCCTGATATTGTGAATAGCAAATAGTAGGTGGCAGGATGTGTTTCATGAATATGTACTGAAAGAATAATGCCCTCAAATAATGTAGAAGTTCAAAGGAAGGAGGGACAACTTCTGTCTAGTGTTACCCGAAAAGCTTTCTAGATGATGAAGTATTTGATCTGAGTCTAAGGGTTGACGGGATGGGTTCTAACAGAGAGAATTCACATACCAGGCAGAGGCCATCACACAGTCACAAAGATAGAGGCAAGAAAGTGTGACACAGCCTTTAGGAATAGCAAATCATTCAGTTTGGCAGTTCGGCACAGGAAATCAATAAGGTAGGGGTAGTACACAGACAAGACTGAAAAAATTAGATTGAGTCCAGACTGATGAAATCCAGAAATGCCAAGATAGGGAGTCCAGATTTTATTCTTGAAGGAAACTCTATTTGTGTTCAGATGCCTATACGACAGCTTAGCCACTTGCCAAGGAGCCATCAGCCTTGATCCTGCTTCTGAAGCTGTCAGAAGGAGTCATCAGAAGCATGCCCTAATTATATTATCGGCTACTCTCCAAGAAGCTACTCTAAGAGAAAACCTGCAAAGTGCAGCAGTCCCAGAAAAGAAGATGAAGACTAAAGACATGGATGCAGCTGGAAACCATCATTCTCAGCAAACTATCGCAAGAACAGAAAACCAGACACTGCATGTTCTCACTCATAGGTGGGAATTGAACAATGAGAACACTTGGACACAGGAGGGGGAACATCACACACCCGGGCCTGTCGTGGGGTAGGGGGAGGGATAGCATTAGGAGATACACCTAATGTAAATGACGAGTTAATGGGTGCAGCACATCAACATGGCACATGTATACATATGTAACAAACCTACACGTTGTGCACATGTACCTTAGAACTTACAGTACAATAAAAAAATTAAAAATATAAAAACAAGAAGGAGAGCTATTTAGAAATGATTAGTATTGGTCAGTTTCATCAGTTCTACGTCTGTTATCAGACACCTGTTATATTTACCATGATACTTCAAACACAAGTTACTTTGGTTCTAGTCTTTGGAGATTTAATGCACAAATCTTAAAAGGTAAAAAAAGTTCCCAGAGAAAATATGCCTTTTCAGAGACCTCTAATATGTTATAAAATGTAGCCTCTGTCTAAGAAGAGACTGATTCTTTGAGGAAAATGGTAGAGTAGGCTACCTGGATACACAAAATTGTCCCATTCATTCACTGAAAACACACATGACCAGGAGCTGTAGCGAAATAAAGTTATAAAACATGCCTTGAGCAATTTACAATGAAATTGAAAAAAAAAAAGTGCCACTCTTAAGTACTAGAAGATTTATAATATTTGACTTTAGCTTCTTGACTATTTCCATTTTTTAGTTAAGAAAATTAAGATTAAAAGGTTTAAATAACTTATCCAAGCCAAAAAAAAAGTAGCACAGCCAGAATCCAAATCCAAATTTGTTTGACTCCAGAAAGCATACTGTTTCTCATGTATCATATAATAGGCTTAGAGTCTGCCCTAGTATATGGAAAACACTCTCATGCAGTAGCTAAAAGCAGGATCTCTAGCTAAAAGCAAGACCTAGGTCGTAGGTCTTGGATCTACCTCCTGTTAGCTGTCTGACTTTGCACCTGTTGCTAACTTTTTATGCCTCCATTTTCTCAACTGTAAAATGAAGGGAAATAATATTTCTTTTCTTTTTCTTTGAGATGGAGTCTCACTCTGTCACCCAGGCTGGAGTGCAGTGGCGCGATCTCGGCTCACTGCAAGCTCCACCTCCCGGGTTCACGCCATTCTCCTGCCTCAGCCTCCCAAGTAGCTGGGACTACAGGTGCCCGCCACCATGCCTGGCTAATTTTATTTATTTATTTTTTTTTTTGTATTTTTAGTAGAGACGGGGTTTTACCGTGTTAGCCAGGATGGTCTCGATCTCCTGACCTCATGATCCACCTGCCTTGGCCTCCCAAAGTGCTGGGATTACAGGCATGAGCCACTGCACCCGGCCGGAAATAATATTTCTTAAGGTAATATTTCATAACGTAAGTCCTTACCTTATAGAGTTGATGTGAGACTTAAATCAGATAATACATACAAAATGCTTAGGAAAATGGCAGGCTCAAAGAAAATGCTCATTAAAATTAGCTATTATTTTTCAGTGAAATTTCATTATAATTGCAATAATTTAGACAATTCACTTCACGTTTTCTTGATCTCAGTCAACACACAAAGTCTTCCTTCAATCAAAAAGAAATCCCTGGAAACATTTTATGCAGTCATTAATTTGTGCACAAATGAATATCTGAAATGTTAACATGGGAAAAAGTCACAAGAGTTTGGTTGTTTTTTGAAAAGACAACTTTTGCTCTGGTAACTTTTCTGACACTGATAAATTTGACTGATTAGCACTTTTGCTATCTGTTTCTTTCCCGACAGTACAAAACCCCAGATAAGATGACACATTTCCGTAGCTTGCAAACTTACCCATGAATGTAGAAGATCCATATCTGAGCAGGAAGACTTGAGACTTGTGTGGCGAATACAAGAGGAGCAGTGGCCCCAGGGTCCAACTTGTGCTATTTGGAAATCAACACATGTCCAGAGAGGGTTTTCAGGAAAAGGCTTCCACTGATGCCACATGTAAGCTTCACCTTCATACCAAGCTAATTTATCTTCCAACTTGCAGTCATTTAAAGTGCTCGATCTGCCCAGTGATGCAGAAAGAGTATCCAATCTGATCTCCATTTCTTCCTTCCTCCTTGTGCTAACACTACTCACTTTCTTTTCTTGGGACTTGGTTAATTTCAAACAAGAAATCAATGTGTCATCTTCATCTTCTGAATGACAAAGAAATGGGTTAAAAACTATGATTATAATTCTTCCCTTTCTATGAGAGAAATAAATGAAGCGCACTGGATAAACCAAGAAGTCATTCAATTTTACAAAATTATTTACAGCAGCATTTATTTAAAAAGTAAGTTATTTTGCTATACAAAATTTTTTGTTTTATAAAAGTCTCATTTTTCTGACATGTTTGAAACCATAACTATTGATTAAAGTCTATCTCACTGGAATGAATGGAGGCCACATACAAATAATATGCTGAAAGATATTTGAGAAAAAAATACAATTTTTTTTAAATGCACCTTTATGTTTCTATTATTAAATATGTTTAATTTTAAGGTCATGTGTATAATAAAGAATTATAAGGAAACAAATACAATTATATGCCTTACATAAAAGAATGAAATCTCAGTGGATATGGACTGAAATCCTACTGGCATTCTGAAATTGTCTATTTTAATACCAATCTGCCATGAGATTTATGCACGCAGTGTGTCTCATAGTGAAATAGTTTTTAAAAAGCAAGAACGACAAAACCAAAAAAAAAGGCATATCTGTAATACTATAAAGTTCATTTGTGAGATCTATATTTACACAATGTGGCAAAGACTCTGATGAAATTTCTAGTAATATAGAAAACAGTTACAGAAAATAGAAATATATATCACCCAGAGTCAATTGCTCTATGTCATGGAATCCCTTTAAATCCAAATGTTTAATGAGTATTTTAAAAAGAGTTTGATTAATTAAGACATACCATTATAAATAAATAAATGAAAATCAAAGTTGCATGCCATGGACACACTAATTTGCTATGCTTACGTCGAAATTCAAATATATGGTTTTCTATGGCCAAAGAATGGGAACGGTGGACACTGCTGAGCCTCTCGCTCTCACTCTGTCTCAGAGCCTGGTCTTGAAGGGAAGGAGAAATGGGGTGGGGCATAAATACAGGGTAAAATTCAGGAATAGATGGGGATGTCTGTTTCAAAATAACTTGGCAATAAAAACAATCCTCAATGTTTAATGATTATCTTAAGACCTTATCAAAATGGGCTTCATTAATATATGCTTCCTTAGTTCTCCCTCAAAGGAATTGTAACAGCTTATTGAGTTCTTACTTACGGAGGTTTATTAATGTCGGTTTCACCTCATCCAGACTCTGCACTCTGGCTTTCTTAGTCCAAACCAGTTTCTGTAGCCGCTTTAATGTCCCCATTGATTCCACAGGGTCACCACCCGATTTTATGGCCTAGTACAAACACAGCTCAAGGTAAAGACAAATTATTCTGCACAAAAGATTAAATATAAAATATGTTGAGATCATAAATGTGGAAAAATTAATAATGTGACCTTAAAACCTGAAGCCTGAGTCCATTTAAGCAATAACTTGAAAGCACACCACATTTTTTGGGTTCAAAATTGTGAAATACGTTACAACTGTCCAGTCATACTAAAGCAGAGTGGTTTTACCAATTTTTTTTTTACTTCAAAATACAGCAAAATGGATTGAATTCAGAAATATCTATAAATGACTCACTCCTGCCCACTGTGAAACAGTGGAAAAAAACAAGATCTTTGCAGTGTAATATAGATGGAACAAGAGGTTCAAAGTTGCTATTTGCTAGTGTTGGAATAGACCGATAGTATGCAAAGTCTACCTGCTAATATTAGATAAAGAAGAAGGTAAATTGTCTTCATTTTCTTTTTGGAAATTTGTGGGCAAACAGCATTTGTTTCAAGTATGAAAATTTTTCAGATAACATACTTTAAAAAAAAAATAGCCTCTTACTTTGTAGAAGATATGCACTAAGTGAAACAAAAGATAGCCACAGCATACCACATTATGTTTTAGTATATGTGTCACTTGTTTATTGTGACAAAATATGGATAAAATATAATTAACATTGCATTAATGACTCTTGTTTTCTTTAAAAAGATTCAGGAATGTTTCCCACTAGTTTACGGTTGAATTTGTACTTATATAGCTTTTACTTATTATCTTAAGGATAGTTCCTCTTAAGGATTTCAAAATACTTTGGAAATTAACTCTTTGTGTGCTAAGTTTTACATGAGTTGATAAAATCATTGTGCTTTGTTGAATTCACTAGATGTGATGTAATACATATAGGAATACTTTTTCATCCAGAAAGTTCTACTCAGAAATATTTCTCCACCTGCTTTTGTCTCATTCTTTCCATTGAACAGCTGATAAATAACATCTACAAAGACACTGCAATTTTCAAAAGGTGAATATTGCCTCCTCATTAGTGTTTGAATGAGACATTTATAATAATGCTTTCCAAGCCTTTGAAAGAGACTATAAGCCCAAATAAATGTTTGGAAGTAAAGAATATCCAGCATGAAACATTTCAAATCCTTACACTCAGCTGTTATCTTTGGTCTTTATGATAGACTTTGAACAACCAGCATAAACGTGTTGTTCTGTCTCTGCAAAATAGCACTTACGTAGGAAATGTGACGTTTCTGTCAGAGGAAGCCATACCTTTTTGCGTTAAATAAATGGGAAAATATTGAAATCATTTTAATCTTTTAGAAAGGACCGTGATGAGATATGCTTAGAAACGCAAAATCTTCCCTGTCTTTCCAAAGGCCGTGCTCTGTTCAACACAATTTCTATTGCTTACTTTTTTGTATTATTCTCAGGGTTTCTTTTAGTGCTTTCTGAGTTACTTGGTTTTATAGACGCTTTACAACTTAGGAAAGGCTATTTTCTACTCTTTAGACCCTTTCAGAAATAATAAGATGACATTGCACAACCATTTTTTCTTTGCTGTGCTTCTACCCTTATGTCAACTTCTTGTTACGGCCAAAGCTTAATTGTTCCACTGAAACACTGGCAACAAAAATCACCTTCTCTTTTCCCTTTGTGAAAAAGGCTTTAATGTGGAGAAAGGTATTGTATACCAGGGAAACGGAACTTTGTATAAATGATTTTCCCCCAAGAGGAACTAAAGCATTTGGAAGGTATCTGAATTCAGGTAAGTAAGATCTCATGGCCTAGAGGTTTTAAAACAAACTGACCTTTCATTATTTTGTTCACACTCTATTATAGCCTTTAAAATCATGATATTGTTATTTTTTGTATCTTTATTCACTTTGAGTTACTAGACATTAGTCTACTGCATTTTATTTATTTTTTAAATCTTGTGTGTCTAGATTGTACATGGCTTAATAAATGTGTACTGAATGTAAATACAATCCTAATTTTATACATGTTTAATGTACACAATGGAGTATCCATAGTACATTTTTGATACTAGACTCTTTACTTTCTAATAGCAAAGTATGTCTGGACAACCTCCTCTTGTTAATAGGTACTTCAAGGGATGAAATTTAGAGGTAATATTATTATAAAAGATACAGAATCATTAAAACTATGTATGAAAAAGAAAATGTATTCAGATTAAAAATACAGCCAGGTGCGATGACTCATGCCTGTAATCCCAGTACTTTGGGAGGCTGAGGTGGGTGGATCACAGGGTCAGGAGATCAAGACCATCCTGGCCAACATGGTGAAACCCCGTCTCTACTAAAAACACAAAAATTAGCTGGGTGTGGTGGCATGCACCTGTAATCCCAGCTACTTGGGAGTCTGAGGCAGGAGAATTGCATGAACCCGGGAAGCAGAGATTGCAGTGAGCCGACATTGCACCACTGAACTCCAGCCTGGGCGACAGAGTGAGACTCCATTTCAAAAAAAGAAAGAAAGAAAAAGAAATCCTCTAAAATATTTTTCAAATGATAACACTATTTATCTCATTTCTCTTATCTATTACCTACATATTTGTACTGAATGTGATTATGTTTTACAGTAACATGACTTTTAAATTCTAAATGTGTTCTAAGAAGATTGACCCATAAATTAAACCTAGCATTCAACAAATTGATAAACTTTTGTTGAGCACCTACTATATGCCAAGCACTCTCTCACATTCTGGGGATATGGCATAGAGGAAGTAATATGAGATCACTGTTTTTATCAAGTCTAATTCTAGAGGGAGGTGATGGGTGATAAACATATAAACAAGTATATAAACATAAGAATGTGACATAAGAAATGCTATATTAATAATTAACAGGGTGATTGAGTGAGGATGCAAAAGGAGGGTTTATTAATTTACTGATCAGGAGGAACTTCACTGAAGATACTAAAGCTGAGGCCTGAATGATGAGAAGGAACCAGATATGTGAAGATTTAGAGAGGGTTTAGAATTCAGCAGTTGGTCAGAAAGAATATTTCCCCTGAGACTTAAATAAGAGAAAAAGTCAGCCAGGCAAATAGCAGAGAGAAGAGAAGTCTTGGAACACAATACAGTTTGCAAAGGTTCTAAAGCTGGAATCCCTGGAAGAATGCTTAGTATGTGCCCATGAAGGGAAAGAAAGGAAGAGTACCAAGAGATGAGCCCAGAGAATAACAGAGATCCTTCCAGGAGGCTTCTGTAGAGCAGATTGAAGAATATGGAATATCTAATCAGAGGATGACACAACTTGGTTTACAGTTTTGTTCCTCTCTCTCTATTGAATTTTGATTTTCCATTTCAGTGGACTCTTCCCAATAGCATTCAAATGTGCCTTATGTCATTCATCTTTACTTCACCATCTTTTTCTTTACCACTTTTTCTATCCTAGGCATTTGTCTCAAAAACGTTAACTATGTATGCTTTCTGTAATTCTATTAACTTCTCATCCTTTTAATCTATCTCATCTATCAGCTTTCATCTTACCATTCCCTTTAAATTGTCCTTTTGATCTAATGAGCCATTCTTAAACTCCTTTACTACTTGACATTCAGCAATGTCGACCACAGTGACCTTCTGGAAACACTCTCTTTTCTTGGCTTCTGTGACACCGTGTTCCTCTGATTTTCCTTTTACTTTTTTTGGCCCTTCCCTCTATAACTCCTATATGCTGACACCTTCCTTTTCTTGAAATTAAATTTTGAAATTACTTAAGGATTAATCCTGGCCTTTTATCTGATATCACCATCTTTCTCTTCTCATGTACATGCATGCATACACACCACTTTTAATACCACTTATGTGCTAATGACTCCCAATTTTTTTCTTTCCCCAGGCCTCTCTGCAGAGCTTCAGACTCACATATCCAGCTATGTATTTAAAACAATTTTTAAGCACAATCAGAACTGACCTCTAGACCTATGCTCCGAATATGATGCTCATCCCATCTTCTTCAACTCAGTGAAGGCCGTCTTCATCCACCAAGTGCACATTCCATAACTAAGAGTTTGGCCTAATATATCTTGAATGTTTCTTTTTCTCCATCTCTGTTGTTACCAATCTAGTTGAATTTTCTTTCATTGATACTACTGTCAAGTCTCTAATTGATTTTCTTTTCACTTTTGTCTTTCTAATTTAGAGTCGGCTTTGAAAGATGTAAATTTCCATCGAACTGGTAATTATATGTGAATGTAAATGTAATTTTTCATATGTATATATTTAACATGTATATACTATATATTTCATATATTTATGTCAAAAATAGAAATATCTTTTAGTTCATTTTGCTCACGCTTCCTTAAATAATATAAAAATTTTGTTAGAAGTACTTGGTTAAATATATCTCATTTTCTGACACTTTGCTTGAATATTAATATTAAAGAATAATTTTTAGAAGATAGCATCACTGAATTATTGAACTGGATTAGTTCTACAATCATATTTTATGAGTTGGGATGGAAATTATTAGACATCTAGTCTACCAGAGTATATAAAAAATGAGAAAACTCAGAGAAGTTAAGTGGCTTACTCAAGGAAAGATAATTTATTAATAATAGAGTTGGGATGGAAATAAAATATTCTGACTTTTAATCCAATGTTCTTTCTTACAAGATCTTTAAATGCCAGCATAATTACTCGTTATCTAGTATTGACAGTGAAATTAAGACCAACCAAATTCAGGGAATTTATTTGGAGGTTAAATATGACTTTCCAAAACAGAGGATAAGTATCAGGTAGACACTTTCAGATTTATAGGCCTATCCTCTTAAATATACATAATTAAGATGGAAATATATAAATATATGTGTGTGTATGTATGTATATACCTACACATATTTGCTGGAAAGGCATTTAAAGCTTTTAAATCTCTCCTGATTTTATCACTTCATTTTACAGAAGGAAAATTTAGACTTATGGAGACTAACCAAACCCAGATTGCATATCTGTCTGAATTATGTCCTCTTCACTCCACTAATGAAAAGGTAGCTGAATAACATGTCAGACTTGAATGAAGCAAAAAACAAAACAAAACAAAACAGAAAACACTTTGTTCTTACTTTTCTTCTTAATTTCTGATTTAGAAAAATTTTCCTCTCTAGTGTCATATTTAACAAGTATTCAAATAACAAATCCTAATAACTTGATGTCTATTTCACATAATTTCTTCAACAGGAGAAATGGAGATTTTTAAAAATTGATATTTTGGTTTAACTTTAAAGAAAGCTATAATGGAAACTAAAACTTCAAGTAGTTTCATATGTATTATATTGACAGTTTTCTCTAAGTTTCCTGGTCTTATGACTCGTTGTTTCATTATTAAAACTGTGCCAGTGTATGCACAGGGCTTAGAAATTTTTTAATGCTCACATGTATTAAGTGAAAAACCAGAATGTAAATTTGTATAAAAAGTATAAATACCACTATATATGGCCTTTTTCTTTCTTTATATACTCTACTCTTCTTAGTTTTCTACAATGAAGATGTGTTAGTTCTGTAATTAGCATAATTGGGAGAAATTTTTTTTTTTTTTTTTTTAAGACACGGGTGTTGGTCTTGCTCTGTCCACCAGGCTGGAAGCTGGTGTGCATTTGCACGATAAAAGCTCACTGTAGCCTTGAACTCCTGAGCTCTAGTGATCCTCCCATCTCAGCCTCCCAAAGTGCTGAGACTACAGGCACGCACCATCATGCCCAGTAATTTATTTTACTTTATTTTTTGTAGAGATGAGGCCTCACTATGTTGCCCAGGCTTGTCTTGGACTCCTGGCCTTAACCAATCCTCCTGCTTCAGCCTCCCAAAGTGCTGGGATTACAGGCGTGAGCCATCACATGTAGGAAGAAATTCTATAAACTACAAAATGTATTTAGAAGGCAGATTTCAATAATCCAATCTATCCTTGCTAAGGACAGAAGTACTCAGTTTTTCTACGGAGAATTTGTTCTTAGCCACTTGAAAGGGAAGGTGCCTAGAGACAGGAAGAAGAGAGCTACTTTCATGTTAAAACCAAAATAAAGAAGAGGTTTTTTTTTTTTTTTTTTTTTTTTTTTTTTTTTTTTTTTTTTTTTTTTTTTTTTTTTTTTTTTTTTTTTTTTTTTTTTTTTTTTTTTTTTTTTTTTTTTTAAATGTGATTTTAAATGTTGAATTATTAAACTCCTAAATCTATATCTTCATTGTCTTCTATATAAAAGTGACTAGTCTCTATTCATGACCTAAAAAATATTCTAAAAAGATAATTTTTAAGGTCACAATGATCAATAAATATTTAGAAACTCAATGGACAATAATAAAACCAATGGGATTATGAACTAGAATTGATCAATGCAAACACATGAAAACAAATACATTTCACTTCAGAGGTTTATTTTATTGCTTTCTTGGAACTACAATTAATTTAAAAGATGATTTAAGATAATTTACTTATGCAAATGAAATATTGATTGAAGAAATAATTACAGTTGGTGGGAAAATTGCCATGTTGACATTGGATATTCATATATCATTGTAATTTTAAAAATTATTATTTTTCAGTGATAGAAACTGAACTTAAACTAAGATTGGATAAGCACTTACAATAAAGCTAGGCAAAATTTTAGGTCATCGAATAGATGAGTAACTGAATGAATTAGTTAACAAAATCAAATATATTCTCCTAGAAGGCTTATAAGACATTTATTTATTCGTTTATCACATGAGGACCTAATTTATTACTGAGGACCTAATCTATGGGAGGTGCAAAGAAGAATGAAACGTTGTGTCTGCCTGTGATGCACATTGCTTAACATGAATACTAAGAAAAATAGTCATCTGTTTCTGTTCCTGTCCCCCTCACTGCAAGGTGATCTCTTTGGGGTTCTAGTACTGTTTCACACATATCACTTCTTAGAGTCAGTATCATCAATGAATATATTCAATCTGAACAGCTGGCCAAAAATACATCTGGAGGAAAAAGTTGATGTGTGTCATATGAGAACTACAAATAAAATTCAATGATTATTCACAGGAAAGATTGCATAAGGTGGGAATAGGGAGGAGAAATGTGCTTGGCTAGAGGATTAGCAGGTATTTAAGAAGCTAAGCAGTATAATTTAGGATGTCTAACAATGCCATTTATGTAATAGTCTACTTCTACTATATAAACACTAAAACCCTTTCAAGTCCTAATACAATATTCTAGCTCCTCCTTCCTCTCAAGCAGATTTTGACATGTGTAAGTCTGGTCTTGGAATAATGTGCCCTCTGAGAACACAGTAAAAACAGAAATGAGTCTTTCAGAAGCCACACAGGCCCAATTTTCCATAGTGTAATGAAGTCGCAACGTCACGGCCATTTCTCCACTTCGGCAGGGGAAGCCAAGACTGCTTTTTGCTCACTGACCTATAGCTGAGGGTCAGTCTTTGAATGTGGACACACTGCCAAGCTAGCTGGGAGTTGCCAGGATTACACAAACCAGAGTTGCAAATGGGGGTTGTGTTGATTTAAGAGAAAAGGCCACAGAAGCCACATCTTTCTTACTTCCTGTGTAATATCCTCTGCTCTGAAATTTTGAAGAAGTTTCTAGAACTACTCATAAGAACATTTCTCTTTTTGGGTACACCTCCTAGCTGACCGAAATTTATGAACAATAGGAAATTTAAGAGCCAGTATGCAAATTAATTTTTATTAAGTATCTATTGGATTCTTAGCAAGAAGACGAGCTATGGATGGAAAATTACACAGTAAAAAAAAAAAAGTTTTTATCTAGTATTTATAATTTCAAATCCACAAGAAATGTTAAGAAAACCTAGAGTAAGAACCTGCCCTTGTGTGCGGACGAATGATTGTTCTGCTTTGAAAATCTGCTCTGTGACTAGCCATGTGAACTTGAGTGAGCCACTTCACCTCTCTGCACTTCAGCCCTTCATCTTTAAATTGAAGGATTGGATCATAGGAATTCATTGTTCCTCACATGTCCTTGGGGACATTTGACTAGATAAGTGTCTTCTTTTGTTACTTTACATAAATTCTTGTGCCTTAGAAAAAATATCAAGGAAAAAGTGGGAATGACCTACTGTTAATCACAGATGATCAGAGTCTGAAGAAATATTCTCTAGTCCAACATTTTACTTTAAAAATGTGGAAACGGAAATGCAGAAATATGAGTTTAGAGGCCTAAGAGCACAGTCGGTGGTAGATCCAATTCCTGCCATCCAGTTCTCTTGCTTCTGTTTCTAATTAAGGCATTTCATAATCCTCCCAAATGTATAGCTTTATTTTCATCTGAAAGTCCTTTTTGTATTGACTGAGGTTCATTTGTTTGTTTCCCACAGCTCTTTGACATTTAACTAGTCATTAAGAACTTAGATAGCATGCGAAATAGCAAGGGCAGAGCTCAATAAATCTTTTTTAGGGAACAGAAGTAATACTTAAATCACAACTTTCCGTCACCTCTTCCGCCTACCTGGCACAATTTAGACATCTCTTAGACAAAAAGAAAAAAAAAAATAGTTGAAAAGAAAACTATTATAAAAACTTAGATGTTAATAACATGTTACTAATATTGGGGGAGAGAGAGCTATAAATAAAGATATCAAAACTTTCGTATTTGGCCGGGCGCAGTGGCTCAAGCCTGTAATCCCAGCACTTTGGGAGGCCGAGGCGGGTGGATCACCTGAGGTCGGGAGTTCGAGACCGGCCTGACCAACATGGGAAACCCCGTCTCTACTAAAAATACAAAATTAGCTGGGCCTGGTGGCACATGCTTATAATCCCAGCTACTAGGAAGGCTGAGGCAGGAGAATTGCTTGAACCTGGGAGGCGGAGGTTGCGGTGAGCCGAGATGGTGCCATTGCACTCCAGCCTGGGCAACAAGAGTGAAACTCCGCCTCAAAAAAAAAAAAAAAAAAAAAAAAAACAACTCTCATATTCATACCTACATAAAGAAAGATGATTTACCAAGAGTAGTTATTTGTCACAAAATTACGATTACATTTTGGGAAACAATAGTCAAATAAGTTGTAAACATTAGCTTGTCGTGTTCCGAAACCATCTAGAACAAGAACTACAAATAGGACTTATAGTTGTTTCATATCAATAATGCTATAATACTTGGCGATGTACGTGAATATCCTGGAAATTTGCCAGACCTTCTAAACCATGTCCTTTCCATGAACCTCTGTTTAGCAATATCTGAACAAGGAAAAGAAGGCAGTTGATGTGATTTTAATATCATAAGGGACTGCTGGCACACAGAGAGACTTTTTAAAAAACGGTTTTATTATATTTCATTCGATGGACTATAATCCAATTAATTAATTGATTTCCTGTTATCACACACTCATACTGTTTCCAAGTTCTCTCTTTTTTTTTAGCAATGCTACAATGATGTACATTTCTCTCAGAAACATGAGATAGCACCTATTTCCCCCAAACCAGAAGATAATGCTTTTTAACATTATAAATTTTTTCCTATCTCTGGAAAAGTTGCTAAATTTTATGGAAAATTTTTTATATAACTACATATCCTTCTTTAAAGGAAATGCTTTATGGTCCTTCCAGTTCAGAAAACCACTCAATAAGGACAAGTCTCTTTTTATATTCTTTAGAGAGTCTTCTATGTGGCAGCTGAAAACAAATGTAATAAAGAACCATAGAAAACAGTGCTTGTGGCATTAACATGATTGGAAAAGAGATGGGAAATCCACTTCAATAGTTATATCAGGGAAGAAAAGTCTCACCATTTCATCAACAGTAGGTTCAGCTTGTCTTTGATAATGAAATGGACTCCAGCATTCAGTGGTCACCTTAGAAATTAGAAAAGGAAAAAGAGACAACTAATGTTAACATTCTTTAAAAAACAAAACAAAACAAAACTCCACAAAGCTACCAAACTAATTGGGAAAGGATTCATTGTCTTAATTAGAAATAATTATCTTGTTATCAAAGTACACTGATTAATGTTTCATCAGTGACTTCATCTGCATATATACACATATATAGACAAATATGGAATATGTGTAGGTATATACAGTATACACACATTATATATCCATATATGTGTGTGTGATATGTGTATGTGTCTATGTGTATTAGATTCACTCCTCAGCCCTCACATAGGGCAATCCCAATCCATGATCTCACATTTAGAAGAGTTGGTGGAAAGAGGGGATCAGGAAAGTTTTGTGAAACAGCCCACTGTAATTTCTTAGTGCTCTACATTAAGTATATAATGGGCATCCGTTTTAGAAACGCTGATTGAGTTTAAACTCAAACCAAATAGACATTTGGAGTAATATCTCAAGTTATAGTGTGGGATATCTTTTATTACATTTGGCGCCTGTCAGTGTAACCTTCTTACTCTCAGCTTCTACTCCTTTTGAAAACTTTATGTACCTGATATCAAACAATTTCTACCTAGGGCACTTCAGGACTGCAGCAAAGGGCATTTGATGGAGTCTATAAAAGGTAATAAAAGGGTGCTGTGGTCTGAACATTTGTGTTGCTCCCAAATTCATATACTGGAATGTAATACGCAAAGTGATAGTGTATTTGTCCATTTTCACATTGCTGTAAAGAAATACCTAAGAAGGCCGGGTGCGGTGGCTCAAGCCTGTAATCCCAGCACTTTGGGAGGCCGAGACGGGCGGATCACGAGGTCAGGAGATCGAGACCATCCTGGCTAACACGGTGAAACCCCGTCTCTACTAAAAAATACAAAAAACTAGCCGGGCGAAGTGGCGGGCGCCTGTAGTCCCAGCTACTCGGGAGGCTGAGCCAGGAGAATGGCTAAACCTGGGAGGCGGAGCTTGCAGTGAGCTGAGATCCGGCCACTGCACTCCAGCCTGGGTGACAGAGCGAGACTCTGTCTCAAAAAAAAAAAAAATAAAATAAAATAAATAAATACCTAAGACTGGGTAATTTACAAAGAAAAGAAGTTGAATTTGCACACAGTTCTACAGGCTGTACAAGAAACATAGTGGCTTCTGCCTTGGGGGAGGCCTCAGGAAGCCTCCAGTCACCGTGGAAGGCAAAGGGGGAGCAGACATTCTTACGTGTCAGGAGCAAGAGCAAAAGAATGAAGGGGGAGATGCTACACACTTTTAAACAACAGCTCTCATGAGAACTCACTTATTATCATGAAAACAGCACCAATAGGGTAATGCTAAACCATTCATGAGAAATCCAATCCCATGATCTAATCACCTCCTACCAGGCCCCACCTCCAACACTGGGAATCACAATTCAACAGGAATTTGGGCAGGAACACTTATCCAAATTATATCAGATAGTATCAAGGGGTGGGACTTTTGGGGAAGTAACTAAGCCATAACGTTTTTGCCCTCATGAACGGAATTAGAGCCCTTATAGAAGAGGTTGAGGGGAGTTGCCTTGCTCCCTTTTTGAAGCAGACACTGAATCAGCTGGTGCCTTGTCTTGGACTTTTCAGCCTCTAGAGCTGTGAGAAATACATTTCTGTTGTTTACAAATTATCCAGCCTAAGGTACTTTGCTATAGCTGCCTGCAAGAACTAAGACAAAGTGATTTCAAATTTTATTCTGAGGGGAGTCTGCAATGAGATTAAGAAGAATGTAGAGACAGGGCAATATGAATATTCATTAAACATCTTGAGGGAGTATGCTCCTTTATTTAAATATTTATGACAATCACAAGAAGTTTTATTATCACTATTTTACACATCTGGAAATTGAAGCACAGAGAGTTTAAGCAGCAAGTTTAAAGTCCAGTGTTTTTACTCATATAAAGGTAAGGCAAGTTTGGTTTCCATAAAGTCTAAACCCCAGCAGAATTCTGTAGTTCTAGCTCATAAAATATAGCCAAAGAACAAGAGTTTTGAAGCAGAAAACTGACAAAGTAGCTGAAGTGACTGAAACAAGTGCCAAGCGGTTGGATTTTATTTTTGCCACAGTGTGTAGCCTGTGGATTCTTAAAGGACTGGGCCCATATGTTCAGGTTTGTTACATTTTAAGGATGCTACCTAGTACCCAGGGCTTGACACAGTATATAAGAGTGCATTTACTAGCCATTTTCTGGGTTGCAAAATTCCTTTTTAAAAATGAGTGAGAATGATGCTAAGGAATACCAAATAAGTCCTCTCAACCTTTTAGGGCAATCCAAAAAGAAAACACCCATACATATGTGGAGTTCATTCATAAAAATCATTTGTTAGAATCAAGTATTTCCTCTTTTTAAAATAAAAGTTAAATGTAGAGTTGCTTAAACTCTTTTTTTTAAAAGTGAAAGTATACTTATCATAAATGCAGTATAACTTTGGATAAGAAAATGAGAAAATCCAATATGATCTTAATTTTATTTCACCAGAAACAAGAGATTTGGATTCCATGTTAACATCCTATGTTTCTTTAATACCAACAGAAGCCACTCTTGAAAGTCATTTACTGTTAAAGAGAGGAGATTAGATTTTTTTTTTCAAGATAACAAAATACAGCCCTATATTCTTTCTACCTGCAAAATAAGTTATAATCTTGCCCTTTGGAAGCAGGAAACTTCTCCATCTATAACCTCAAACTAGTAGAGTTCTAATGGTTTTAAAATATGCTCACAAGTTCTTTTACAGAAGAGGTCTTCAGAAGGTGGATCATAATACTGCCCCCCCACCCTTAGTGTGAGCTGGATTTAGTGAGTTGCTTCTAACACACAGAATAAAATGGAAGTAATGATGTTTAACTTCTGAAATTAGGTCTTAAAAGGAATTGTGGCCTCTTCTTGTTCTGTGTCTTAGATGCTCACTCTGGGGAAACCAAATGACATTCTATGAAGACACTCAGCCTCATGGATAGACCAAAGTGGCAAGGGACCTATCCCTGCAGTCAACTCCCATCAAAAAACTGAGGTCACCTGCCTACAGCCATGAGAGGGAGTTAGCAACAAACCTTTCAGCCCCAGTCAAGCCTTCAGATAACACCTTGAGAGACACTAACCACCTACGATTATAAACACATGAGAGACTCTAAGCTAGAAATGCCCAGCTATACCACTTCCCAACTCCTGACCCACAGGGACTATGAAAAATTTTTTTTGTTTGTTTTAAGCCCCTAAATTTTAAAGTAATTTGTTATGCATCAATAGATATGTAATACGATAGTTAAAAGTCATACAATGGATAAGAAAGTGCTTGAAATAAGAAACATTGATCAAGACACAATATCATTATTTCATCATAATATAGTCACTTCATACACAGACTATCATTTGGTTGACACTGTCATTTTGAACTCTTTTTGTTTGTTTGTTTTCTACCTTTTAGATTGTTCACACTTTTGTTTAGAACTGCCTCAAATCTGTCTGATAAAACCTAGTGAAAGACCTGTCTCTCCTGCTTGTTAATATATGACAGCATAACCTCAAATTATTTATCCAGTGACCCAGTGTTGTGACCTCGGTTAAGCTCATGAAAAATTGGTCTCGTTTTGTCCATTCTACGTGCATTTCCCAAAAATTGTGTGCTATGTTGGATATAGTTTTAATTCTGTATATAGCCAATGGGATGTGTATAGCTAATATTTTATTTGTTAGTAATCCAATTTTCATCTTAAGGATTAAATGACTAACTCTAAATGCTGTTTACACTACATGAGAGCTGAAGGAGACTAGTCTAGTTTGTGCAATAAGAGGTGAGTCTAGACACTGTTTAACTGTGGGCACAGTTTTGTCTGATTGCTTACATAGAGCAGAGTTCAGCATTAGCAAAAGTGACTGTTTTAAAAATAAGGTATCAGGAATGTACTCAGCTTTGAGGAAGAGAATAACCAACAGTGGTTGCTTAAACAAGTATGGGGCTTATGTTTCTGTAAAATAGAAGTGCAGACATAGAGTTTCCAACCTGGGTGCAGCTTCTCAAGGATATCCTCAGTGAATCAGGCTCTTTGCATGTGCCTGCTCCATTGTCTTTCATGTCTGCCTTTGCCTCACGGCTGGAAGACAGCTGCTGATTTACCAGGTATTACATCCAGCTCCAGGCAGGAAAGAGAGCAAAAAACAAAGCTTTGTCTTTATAAGACTCTGTCTTATTTTTTATTTTCCAGAAAAAGAAAGTCCCCCTCAGGAATTTCTGACTGTATTTCATTGGCCAGAACTGGATTCCATGACCACCCCTAACTACCGGGTAGGCTGAGAATTCAAATGCTGAAAATTGCAGTCTCCATAGTGAAAGACATGAAGAAAGAAATTGATTGAAATGGGTTAATTAATTCAATTAGCAACACTTTTTCTCAGTGAAGGAGCTCAGAAAGAAAATGTTTTGGTTCAGTCCTGGGTAGGGATGCTGGACAGCCCTTAATATCACCAGCACTGAAGGTAATAAATATTATCTCTCTTTTCTATCATGAATATGAATGATACTCTGAAGGCTGAATGCAACCTAGGAATTTACGTGAGAAATGAGGCATGCAACACTTTTGAAAATATATTAGCCCAAAGTCTGTATTACTGCATATTTTATTCCCCTTTTTAATATGCTACAAAAGGTTTGAGCCATCAACTGAATGCTGCCAGAGAAGAACAAACAAGTACAAGAATGCAAAAATAAATGCTGGGAGTCAAGTTTTCACAAGATGTTCTTTATGGTTGGTATGATCACAGTGCTAAGCAGACTAATTTGCTTCCAGCTCTATTCCATAAGCCTGGTTCTCCAGGAAGTTTATCCCAGGCTATCTATGCAGAAATGTACATGGGGCAAAGTGGGTACTGGAGAAAGCATTCCCTGAACTCCTTCTCTTGCCCCTGCTATCTGATTCTTTGTAACTTCTTCCATGCCTGAGATCTTCTCTTCTATTTTGAGAACATGAAGGAAACATGCTTGCTTAAGTACATTCTGATTAGGAATTAAATATTTAATTCTGATCATTTTTAGTGTCTGAAATATATTTTGCATGCATAGTCAAATGATAATTATAACTATAAAATGTTTTACATTCTACAAACTTTATCCCATGTTACTAATATTCAGGAAATGATCATAGGAAAATATTTACACTAGGATACTGTTCAATATTTTAACTGTTTCTATTTATACATAGTTTTAAGAAATTCTACAATGAATTTATATCATCTCCATAATAGGGAACAAAAATCGACTTCACTTTTTCCAGGAGGCTGTTGTCTTCCAAGACCATAATTAAACCAAGTTTGGGTTTATAGAGTTAAAATCATGAGATATCCCATCTGTGAACACGTATTCATGGCTATAATTTGGATGTTTGTTGTCTCCAAACTTCATGTTGAAATTTGACCCTCAATATTGGATGTGGGGTGATATGGTTTCATTGTGTCCTCACAAAAACTTTCATCTTGAATTATAATACCTATAATTCCCACATGCAAGGGCGGGATCAGGTGGAGGTAACTGGATCATGGAGGCAGTTTCCCCCATGCTCCTCTTGTAACAATGAGTGACTCTCACAGGATCTGATGGTTTTATAAGCATCTGGCATTGCCCCTGCTCGCACTCACTTTGTCCTGCCACCCTGTGAAGAAGGTGCCTTCTTCTCCTTTGCCTTCCACCATGGTTGTAAGTTTCCTGAGGCCTCCCCAGCAATGGGGAACTGTGTCAATTAAACCTCTTTCCTTTATAAATTACCCGGCCTTGGGTATTTCTTCACAGCGTTGTGCGAGCGGACTAATACATGGGGCCTAATGGCAGGTGTTTGGGTTATGGGGCTGGATCCCTCTACAATAGATTAATGTTCTCCCTCAATGGTGAGTTCTCACTCTATTAGTTCTTGTGAGAGCCGGTTGTTTCAAAGAGCTTGGCACGTACCTCCCCCTGCCTTGCTTCCTCTTTTGCCATGGAATCTCTGGGCCCCCTTCACCTTCAGCCAGGAGTGGAAGCAGCCTGAGACCTTCACCAAATGCAGATGCCCAATCTTCAAATTTTCAGCCATCATAATTGCAGCCCAAATAAACCTTTTTCTTTATAAACTACCCGGTCTTAGGTATTTCTTTATTTTGTGTTTATTATTGTTTCTTTATTTTGTGTTGTATTATTGCAACACAAAATGGACTAAGACACTCACCAACTCTCTTGAATTCAAGAGTTTCATGGTTTATGTAGTGAACATTGTCACATAAAAATACCACTTCCTAGGCTCCAGTCATGACGATCCAGGTGAACAGGAATATGGCACCAAAAGTCTGCCTTTTTAAGTAATACTCCCGTTGAGTCTGATACAGACAGTTCCCAGGTAGGCTTGGAAAAACACTTATCTGATAGTCATTTGTTCACTGATGGAAGGCCAAATTTCATGCCATAGTCCACTCTTATGCCCACTGACAAGCCACTTTGCTACTCACACCAGCTTCTCCATTTGACAGTGGTTCACTGTCTTCCCCATCTTTCAACAGATAAATTGCATCTCCTTCTCCTCAGTCACAAGGAGTTAATACATTAATATTTTGCATAATACTCCTTGTTAAACTATTCTGTCATATAGATAAGTGTTTCTTAGTTAAATTCAATTGAATGTCTACTGTGAATAAAATTTAGATAAGACCAGTGCCTCCTCCCAAATGAGGATTTTTAGATTAGATGGCTCCTGCTTGTCTGCCACTAGGTATGAATTCCTTCGGTTTTTAGTGATACACTACATGGCACAATTGAATGGTTACCATTTGGAAGCACCATTTCTTGGCCAATTTTAACCTTCAGAAGAATTGTTCTTAGGGTAAAGATTTATCTTTAACCATTTTCTTCAAAGAACTTTCTATGTTACTTTCTTCTTTCCAAGAAACGGGTCTATTTTTCTACTAAAAACCTACAGAAGGATTTCTCTTGGCACAAGGCATGCCTAGGGAGCTATTCCAGTAAACCAGCTGTTATTTTTCTCCTGGCTATCAGACAAAGCTTCACTTAGATATTATATCTGAGGTCTCATCTGAATTTAGGAAAATGAGACTGCTTGTTTCAGAGATAATCTTCCAGCTGTGCTTGTGCAAGTCTCATTAAGTCCTTGAAAGAGTAAGAGGAGAAGGAGGGTGAGGGAGAAGGGGAGAAAAGAGGAGGAGCAATGACAACAAATGAATTTTTAAAAGTATGTCTTAACTATCAGACATAGAACTACAGTGTTTTAATGACATGTCTCACTGAATCCCATGAAAGTTCTGAGATATTTTTTATAGATGTATTTTACAGATAATAAAAACCAAGGCAGAGAGAGTCTAAGTAAATTGCACAATGCCACATAGCTACTAACAGTCAAAGCAAGATTCAAAGTGAGCTCTGTCTGATATCAGAGCTCTCATCCATGCACTGTGGGAGAACCCACTGGGAGACAGTACTCGGGCAATGTGTTACCACGTCTTGTAGCATAGGCCTATCACTCTGGTAGCATCAGAGCAGCCAGCAGAAACTGTAGTGGATCAAAATCACAACCTACCATCCAATTTATTGGAGGGTCTCCAATAGCCTCAGGAATCAGGCTGGATTTAGGAATGTGAGCCCCCCTTACTCACCAAATCAACACTTTACAATTCATATGCTATGTACCTTCTATCTACTGCACCAAAGAAGTTCAGTTCTAAATTTCTAATGAAACTATCAGAATGATTAAAGAGAACCTCATGGCTGTCAGAAAAAATATCAAAAGTCAGTCCGATGCCTGAATTGGCCTTGGTGACTCATATATCCTCTCTTTTTACAGGGCGAAGAGCAAGTATTTGGCTATTGATTAATGTTACGTTACGATTGTTAGTGAGGCCAAACATTCAGACAGTTTTAATTGTCCAAACTCCTGGGCTAATTAATGTAATTTTGAAAGGGATTGGTCAGGACTCACAGTTTATGTTTTTATGTAAGTGTTTAGCATAGGTCTTGACAGAGAACATCCCAGTATATTAATTTAATATTCCCAGAGTTACTTATCAAAAGGCTGTACAATATGATGTTTTGCAAAATCAAAGTAGTTTATTATCTTGTCATCATCGAATTTTTTTCATTTATATTTCAGTTCACAGGGACATAAGCATATCAGTTACAAGACAACCCTATAATAACTAAATACAAAATAGCTACAAGGCTGTGTATATATTGTCCACTATGTCTAATATATTACAGAGCTGAGTAGCAAGACGATTTTCCCAAAACACGTAAATGCTGATTATTCACATTACCTGATAGGAAGTTCCTTGTAGAGTTTTTCCTTGATGAGTATGTATGTTGTTACTTAGAAAATCATCTTCATTTAGATCTAAGAAAAGAGATAACTGTTACATACAGAATATCAGAAATTACATGATTTAGGAAGTTTAGGTACAATGTAACACTCATGTTTTTATTTAGTCTGTAAGACATTACATTGGACAGGTCAAAAATGTTTTTTTCTTAAATATATGCTTTTTTTTTTTTCTACAAGAAAAAGATCAAAATAAAATAGAAATTTAACAAAATAGGTATGCTGCTGACCATCTGTGTCCCTGAGGAAGTGATGGAAATTCACTGTGATTCCCTTTCTTGGTAATAATAGGATTGTGGACTAGCTACAAAAGCCACTTCTAACTTCAAAATGCTATGACTCCATGCAGTTATCACCTCACCTGTTTCTATTAAACTAAGCCTTCCACCCCTGGCATTTTGAGCTTCATTAGCTTAGGTCTTCTCAACATGAATTATTTATGCTGAAATTGTTCTATGCATGCTTTAGTAAAAGCTTTGCAATGTAGCATCCATTTGCTTGCAGCTAAATGAAACCTTTTCAAATGTAGCAGCACTTCCCTTTTAGCTCCTGTAAATGGGAGCTTCATTTATTTAAGTCTGAAATACATGGTATGTTAAAAGAGGACAAGACTTTATGGGTCACTTAATCCAAGCCTCTTATTTTACAGATGAGGAAAGTGCGACCCAACATCACCTCGTCACCAGGCCAGTGACGTTTCCTTTCACTTTCACTCCTATTTACTTGCAACCATTGCTTCAGTTTTCTACTATTCCTCATTCTCATATTCTGCAGTGGAAGCAAGGACAGGCAAGTCCTATCTTCCATACACAGTGAAAAACAGGTACAGATTTTTCTCCAGATCTCCATCATAGCTCTAGTTAAAAGATATGTTAAATTCACAGCTCAGTCTCAAAGTTACTTGCACCAATAACTTAGTATTTAAAATGAGACTAACCATACAACAGGATTCCAGAAAGTACCTAAATTTTAAAACGAGCCAATTTTGTGATCTGGTTCTTTGAATCAAGAATTTATGTCACAGGGTCAGGCTGCTAGAAGCTGAGTTTTTGCAGCTTGGTTTTTAGTTTCTGTATTGAGAGAAAGAAATATTGCCTCCCTTCTTTTATTTCTTCCCGTGTTGTCTCTTTTAGTCACCTTTTTACAGGAATTTTGAATTACTCCTTCTATAGCCCTTCTTCTGGGTATAGAAAAAGAACAGTAAAGTGGCCTCCTGTGTTCTAGAGTCTGGAATCAAGCTTAGAAAATAAGATACGAATATGTGCAATGCACTTACATAACGACACAAGGCAGAAAAATGAGGGATTCATACACAATACGATGGAGAGAGATCACTACGACTCCCAGAACTTGTGGAAGAGACAGGGCCAGAACGGAAGCTTGAAGAATGGATACAGTTTGAAAAAGTGGAAGGAAAGGAAAAGGTGTAAATTTAGCAGTGATGCCATGAACTCTGGCCTATTATGCAGCATAAATGGAACATGTTTAATTAAGTGTAGAGATTGAGGCTGGTTAGGCCAGAGGGCGATTCTGGATACAGAGTAAGAGGAGGTAGGGCTGGATAGGTGACTGAGGCCCAATTGTAATGGGCCCTGAGTACCAGGTGGAAGAATTTGAGCATAAACCATTAGACCAATGTTGTAAATATAAATATCTACAGGAATCAAATATATAACTAAATGAAGTTAATTCGATCAAGAAGGCAATGGGGATCCTACAGTGAGCTTAAGATCCAGCTCCCCAGCTACAGGGTAGCCATGGCTCTGAGCTCTCTCAGTTGAAGTCACCCGAGACTTTGGGTCCTGGACTGGCACTTTCCCTCGTGTTTTTCAAGGGTATACAAACGTATGGATTTTCATGTAAAATGTCCTGATTTTTAAAACATCATATGGCCCCACCAAGCTTTTCTTCTGAATAAATTCAGCTATAGAGGTACCATTTCACAGGCCCTGCCGTAGAAAATGGGGGACCTTTAAGGGTTGGGACTAAATTAGGCAAACTTAAACCTTTGGTGTCTGGTCTTATACGTTTTTATTTATTTATGATTCCCAAATATTACCCTCCAAAAAGTGCTTTATAAAGACAGAATCTATTTGGTCCTAAGTAGCAGCAAAGGCAGGAGTTGAATTACACAATATGTGGGCTGTATTTTCCAAAGTTGGCCACAACCATGCCTTCCCATTCCATCAAGAAATTGAGTCTAATTCTTCTCCTGTTGACTCTGGGGTGATCTTAGTGACTCACTTGTCACAGTAGAGTGCAGTGGAAGTAATATTTTGTGATTTCCAAGGTTAGGTTAAAGAAGCCTTGCATAAGCCGGGGGCAGTGGAGCACCTACATCCCAGCTGCTTGGGAGGCTGAGGCAGAGGATTGCTTGAGGCCAGGAGTTTAAGATCAGCTTGGGCAACAGAGTCAGGCCTTGTCTCAAAAAGCAAAAAACAAACAAACAAAATTACAAAACAAGAAACCGTGCAGCTTCTGCCTTGGGCTGTTGGGATCTTCATTCCTAGACACTTCTTCCTGTGATGTGTGAAGCTCCCTTGCATGTTGCACACACTTGAAACCCAACCCTGAGGCTGGGAGAAGCTGGAGGGACATGAAAAGGCCACATATAGGTTCTTTAGTTGGCTGCCCAGCTGAGCCGAGCCTAACCTAGACTAGTTGTCAGACATGTAAGTGAAGGAGCCTCTATATGACTCCAGCTACCAGATGTTTAAGTCCTCCCCAGTCATTCAAGTCTTCCCAAATGAAGCCTCTGACATCTCATTGCGGACCAGTTCCGCAACTGAATTACTGACCTGCAAATGTATGAGCCTAATAAGATGTTCTGTTATACTACTAACTATTGGAATGGTTTGTTTGCTGCAATAGATTATCAGAACATTCAAGAACTACATCGTAGATTACCAACATCAATGTGCACAAAAATATGCCATCCAGCATAAAAATTGAGATTACAACTGCCCTTCAAATACAGAGGCAGTAAAAGGAATAAAAGGGATGTAAAAAAAAGTTTTTGTTTTTAATCAGTTTTTAGGTTTTCTAACATAGATACTTCTGACTATATTACTTTTCAAACAGGCAACTCTAATCTCAGTAAGAACTCCTCTAAAGAATTAAAGGATCTGAAGATTCATTTGAATAAAACACTAGAAGTCTAAGTGGTCTCATCATTGAATTCAGAAAGCCTTCCTTGGATATATGAGGCATCAAACCATGCAGTGGGTACCCTTTCCTCAGGGACTTTTTTCCCACCTTGTAAGCAAGCATTTAGAGGTGTGAAGTAGGATTTCCCTCTGGTGTTCCTCATGTAGTCCAGTTTGGCCAAAGTTAAATTACCTGCCCTTGGGAAACACGTTTTTCTAAAATTAAATGTGTGTTTCCCGAAAATTAACCAGAATGGTGAATATATTTGTGAATTTATACCGTCTTTTGCCATCTTAAAATTAAGCTACTTGGCCTCAGGCCAATGAAGAAAAATAATTAATAAGATCTTGAAAAATTAAGCCAAAATATTGATAAGCTTACATTGCAGAGGCTGGACAAATAATGATATTGACCAGAAGTCAGGAGAGAAATTAGGTTTCAAACCAATGGTAATTGAAATGGTGGACTAGAGTAGAAATCCTTAAGAACACCTCTTCTTTCCCTCTGCATTCCTCCTTTTATAATTAATCTCATCAAAGCCACATGTAAAGAAGATTTATTTTTAAAGTAAGTTTGCAGCAGTATAGGTGAAGTTAATGTTTCTCTTATTACTAACATTGTTTTCTGACTTTGTCTGGTCCCTCACTTCCCTTAGTAATATATGCCATTTTTCCCCAGCTTTTTCTTGTAGAATAGTCTGTCACAGTTACACTGATTGATTGAAAAATTTCTGAATCTCCAAATAAGTTTTGTTTCCTTTGTATTATTTTTTAAAAGTTGATTTATTTTTATTCTTTGTACTTTCTGGTATAAAATATGAAAATCCTATTCTTGAAATTATCTTTAATTAAATCATAACTTAATCTTAGGTAAACTCCAATTCACAGATTCAAAAGTTTGTTCTTCTCAATTCTTTTTAGTAAAGTCGAATAAATTTAAATATTTTAAAATGGACTTTAACTTACTAAAATAAATATTACAAATATTCTTCCTATTTATAATGCCGAAAATTTAACAATTAACCTGAATTATAGATTAATTTCTCCTCACACCTAAGCTATGCCAATTTTTTAGTTGTAAAGTCCTAAGCACTCAATGTATTCTACATTATTTTACAGATGCAGTCTCTTTTAATAGAACAGATGTCGGCTTAGATAAAAATCTCCTTAGAAGAAGGAAATGGACTAGATAAATTAAAAATGTTATGCATCTGGAACTCAACTTATTCTGACAAATTTGGCCTTAACCTATATAGTACAGTCATGTTGTTGAGCTATGGATTAATATACCAGACACAAATCTTAGCTAAATATAGCCTGTGGAATCTTTTCATCAGGTCCCAATATTCTTTAGGGCTGAAATGCTATTAATATAATGTGTTAATGTCAAAATATCATTTTGAAATTGAAATTGAGGAAAATTGCCTTTTTTTGGCCTTGAATTTTATACGATTGCTTAGGACTTAATGTCACTCCTACAGTTTATTTCCCTATATATTTTCTTCTAGTTTATTGAAGCTATCTTTACAATTTCATCATTAGTATCTTGTAAAATCATGTGGGCTGTGGATGACAACAATGATGCACTTTCCCATCTTCATCTCACTGAACTCCACAGACTGTCTATCCTCAGGCACAGTAAACTAACCCTAAGTAATTATGCAATTAACAGCTAAAAAGGAGTGTTTAAAATGAGAAAGAAATATTTTAGGTTGATACGTAGGTCACTAATTACTTAGAAATACTCTGAACCTTCCAAATGAAACCACTATACCCATAAAATTAGAGCCTACAACTTGTGGCCTTGAATTTCTCCCTTCAATTTATAATGTTACAGACAGCCTTGGTCTCTGGCCATCAACTCTTCCTAGTATGGCATTAATCTCTAGGAAATGTCCAGTGACTCAACTGCTGCTACTGAAATGTCTGCTGAGGTTCTTGGACACACACACATGCACACGCACTCGCTGAACACACACGGTCACTCAAGACCCTGAGAAATATCAAAGCTGGGAAAAATTCTGTAAAGGCTTTCTTTCTTCCTTCGCTGACAAAGCCACCAGAAGTAACTCACCTAAGGCCAGGATTCTTTGCTGCTTTTTCAGTGTAGCTGTAATAGGATTCCCTGCCTTTTATTCCCAAACTAACAACACAAAACAAAAAACGTACATAAGAGAAAGGTAGTTTTAGGAAATAGAATACTTGAAGAAATTTACGGAAAAATTTATATCTACAATACTCTTTAACACCGTTATACCTTCTTTATCCATAGATCGATATACAATAATCTAAAATAAAACAGGTGCTTATAGAAGGATTAATAGATAAACGGAATGGTGGATGATTAGAGAAACTGATAGACGAGAGTTTGATTAACTGACTGAAGGTGTGGATGCTTATAGCTGGCATCCGTGTGGTAAAGACAGTCCAATCCAAACATGATAGAGAGGGAGGTGGAGCAAGGTGGCTGAACAGAACCCTCAGTAATCAGCCGTCTCACAGGAATACCAACTTGAATAGCTCTTCACACAAGAGAGCACCTCCGTAAGTAAGTAAAAATCGGGTGAGTGATCACAATACCTGGTTCTAACATCATCTCCTTGAAAGAGGTACTAAAAAAGTAGGAAAGGCAGTTTGGGATTGCTGACTCCACTGCCCTCCTCTATCCCTGGTGGCATCCTCATGGTGCTGAGAGAGAATCTTTGTGCATGGGGAAGGGACAGCCAAGTTATTGTGGGACTTTGCATTGACCTCAGTGCTGTCTCTCACAGTGGAAAGCAACACAGGGCAAAATTCAGTTATCTACTACAGGGGGAGCATATAGACTCACCCCCAAATTCTGACTAGCTCCTCCAGAGTGGGCTGAAGCACTTTAGGGTCCTAAGTAAACTTGAAAGGCAGTCCAGACCACAGGACCTGAAATTCCTGGGCAAGTCCTGGTGCTGTCCTAGGCTCAAAGCCAGTGGAACAGAGGTGCACATGATCCAGTAAGACATCGGTAGGGATGGCCAAAGGAATGCTTTCATCACCCCTTTCCCAATCCCAGGCAACACAGCTTGCAGCCCCAGGAAAGACTCCTTCCTTCCGCATAAAGAGAGGACACAGGAGAGTAAAAAGGACTTTGTCTTGCAACCATAGAATAGAGCACTAGGCAGACTCCTAAGGTTCCCAATCCATTCTTCACTCCCAGGTGAAATTTCTAGACTCTTGAATCATCAATAGCTAATATAATCAATTGTTTTTGTCATTCCGATAACCCTTGGGGGTGAATACCAAGCAGATCAACTTTTGATACTGTTTTTCATCTTTGTAAACTCTTAAGACTTTCTGTTTGATTACTTGTCTTCCCAAAGTTAAGTAATTTTAATTATGAAATCACTTACTATTAATATGTTATTCTACACCTGACTGCTAATTTACTTCCTGGAAATTTTTAAATTATAAAAAGACCTAATTATATATTCATAATCAAGGTTATTTCTCTTACATTTTTTAAGAAGACCTAAACATAACTATTAACATATCGATGTTATCTTTAGAGTTTATTTGTGCTCTAATTTTTATTTTATTTTTTATTTATTTATTTTTGAGACGGAGTCTCTCTCTGTCGCCCGGGCTGGAGTGCAGTGGCCGGATCTTAGCTCTCTGCAAGCTCTGCCTCCCGGGTTCACACCATTCTCCTGCCTCAGCCTCCCGAGTAGCTGGGACTACAGGCGCCAGCTACCTCGCCCGACTAGTTTTTTGTATTTTTTAGTAGAGATGGGGTTTCATTGTGTTCGCCAGGATGGTCTCGATCTCCTGACCTCGTGATCCGCCCATCTCGGCCTCCCAAAGTGCTGGGATTGCAGGCTTGAGCCACCGCGCCCAGCCTAATTTTTAATATATTTTCAAATTCTTTTGTACATTAAAACTTTTAGTTTTCTTTTCAATTGCTTATTTGCTTCAGCAGGCAACTTAACTAGATCCCACTTCCTTTCTGTACATGTGTCTATGTGATGTTTATACACATATGTATATGTATACATGTATATAGTAATAGTTTATAATAATGCATATTCTATTCTATCTTATTTGGTTTTCCTTTTTAAGTAGACCAGAATATTCCGCTTATTTTCATGGTGAAAGATGTAAATTTTTCTTACCTGCCCTTTAAACTACTTTGAGAAAATGCAAAGTCAGCTGAACTAAATTTAGCAATTACCTTTTAGCTGACAGGGCCTTCTGATGTGGGAATCATTCTTATGCTTGCTGTGTTCCTGCCAGATTTTGTCATTCACAGTTTTTCCTTCTAAAGCGAAGCAGAGAATTAGTTAGAATTCACAGTAACATTTGTCCAGTAAGTATAAGACATTTGAAATCAAAACAAGTTCAGCACGGGAGTTCTAACTTGGTAAGTGATATCTTAAGAGAGCTCTAGTTCTAGGGAGTTGTAGTCCCTCATGGACAACTGCAGGTATCCTGTGGGCTACCCACTTATTCCCATGAACTACATAGGCACCTCACCATATATGATAGAATGCTGTTACTCTAATGTCTCTTGACAACTTATGATTGCATTATTCTTTGTAGTAGTTTTCTTGCATTCATAACCAATTATTATTATTATTACTTTTTTAAGACAGGGTCTTACGGTCTTACTCTGTTGCCCAGGTTGGAGTACAGTGGTGTGATCATAGCTCATTGCAGCCTCAAATTCCTGGGCCATAGCTATCCTCCTGCCTCAATTTCCCAAGTAGCTGAAACTACAGGCATGTGCCACCATGATAGGCATATATATATATATATAGAGAGACAGGGTCATAATCAATTGTTTTTATGCATCCTTAAAAGGTTAAAGTATCCTTACCCTGAAGATTCCCCATCATTTCTAACAAACTAATTGTGTAGAAAGAACACTGAGCTGTGATGGTTTCAAGAAACTCTAAGATCCTTGAATGGAAGGTAAATGATTTGCTTAACTTTGTCCTCCCAACATCTAAAGCAGGGCCTGGACGTGTGAAGAAATGAATTGTACCAAATGGAAAATTGGAGTCCTTTCTAAATTACTTACTACAGATAAATCTTTCTACATGTTCTATCCTACATTGATAAAACAAATGTTAAATAATGCCACCAATGCGTAGCGTGAAGACAAACTCAGCATGCTGTGTTGTTTCTAAAGTCACTATTTGCTCATATGTTTTGATTATAGAAAAGGCAGTTGATCATCAAGAATTGTGTTAGGATAGAAATATTGGTTGTATCGTATGTACGTGCTGAATAGACTGAGAATGGATCTAGATGAAAAAGAAAATTTTGCCTTACTTCCTTTTATTTAAGACTATGCGCTATTCAAATCAGGGCTGATATTCAAAATATTTAACAGCGAGTGACTGCAGGACCCTGATAGGATCCAGCACCTGTAGATGTTACTGCTGGGAGAATTGAAACCTGATTAAAACGCAGATATCCTTCAAAGTTGTACCCATTGTGGGGTATCACCTTAGTCACAATGAGCTTTTCAGATCCTACCAGAAAATTGGTTTTTTAAAAAGAAGGAAATGGGTATTAGCACCCGACTCCTCTGCTGGGGAGAAGGAAAGGGAAAAGGGTACCCACAAGTTTGGCACACTACATTAAAAGAAATTATTGAGGCCCAGTGTGGTGGCTCACGCCTGTAATCCCAGCACTTTGGGAGGCCGAGGCTGGCGGATCATGAGGTCAAGAGATGGAGACCATCCTGGCAAACATGGTGAAACTCCATCTCTACTAAGAATACAAAAACTAGCTGGGCGTGGTGACACGCACCTGTAGTCCCAGCTACTCTGGGAGCTGAGGCAGGAGAATCGCTTGAACCTGGGAGGCAGAGGTGGCAGTGAGCCCAGATCGCACCACTGCACTCCAGCCTGGCAACAGAGCAAGACTCCGTCTTAAAAATAAATAAATAAATACAATTATTGACTGGATGACCCAGATGTTTCACCATTGTGAATGTTTTATAATTACTGACTCCCTATTTGCTGTAAAGTAACAAGAGAGATAATCTATTAACTTTCTAAAAGTAATGAATAGAAATCGATGTTTACTTTAGAATTAAAATACAAACCAAACGGATTGCATGTGTTATTACTATGCATGCTATCACAAAAACTAAAGAGAAGATCTGGTGTGTGAAATGTTGTAGAAGAGACTTTTATAATAAAGCCACTTTCTGCTAATTTTTTATTGTCTCCTAGATTCACAGATCTAAAAAGATCTCTAACAAGTCACCTTGGCCATGCAGCAGCCAAGCTACACATGGAGAGCTGGAAGATGATCAGCCAATGAACTACCAAAGAGGATTATTCTGTTTAAATATAACAGGAAAGTATTGCAAGTAAATCAATGAGTTCTTTGTTATAGCCATTTAAAGTTAGAATGAAGCCACTTTTAAAAAATGTTCTTCTATATAATTCAAAGACAACTCAATTTGACTTTCATTAATCAGTTTTGTTGCTTCATGGCAGGAGCAGGAGAAAAGAACTTTTGGGGAGACAGAATACATCATTTACACTTGTAACTTTGGGAATCACTAACCAAATATTTTATTTTCAGACATAACTCTCCGGAATAACCTGGAAGAATAAAAGAAACAATATTTAAGTCTAGATTTAACAAATAACATCTTAATCAAACAGAAATTAGAATGTGTGCAACACTTTGGGAGCGGGAATGAATTCTACCTCTAACTAAGGTCTACCTATGATCTTGAATCTTCCTAACCCTAGGTGGCGAATTACAGTAAATACAAGTATAATTTGGGTCTATAAATTTCTATGCTATATGGAGAGACCGATATTCATAAAACCTGAACAAAATGGTAAGTCATTTTACATGAAAGTATCTCAGGATAACCAAATAGTTACTGGGGGGAAAGTGCTTTTCCAAATAATTATGTTAATAAATACAGAAAGAATGATGTAAATTGAATATAACCATTATGCAATCTCTAATAAAATAACAGATCTGGAAAATAATCACCAATTACTGATAAAGCCTAATTGAAAGGCTGATGGGCAACTTCATGCCGAATGGCTCCACCTGATACCATCTGAACCCACTGAGCCATATCACTGTCATAAAAATATGATCGTGCTAATCAATTCATGTGTGTGGGTGAAAACACACATATCTCATAACTGACATTGTTATAGCTTAAGTGTTTTTGACTATTGATATTGTTCATTGTCATTAAATTAAAACCGAGGTTACCCTTTTTTTAAGCTCGAAATTGTGAACAAAAACATGCATAGATAAGATTTCCTTTTTCTTAATTTTTTTTTTCCTTTTAATTTTTTAATGCAAAATGGTTAGGACATCTCTTGGCACATAGCAAACAATTCCAAACAAATAAGCTATTTGTAATATTGTAAAGTGAGGTAGGTAAATAACAGCAAGACTAGACATATAGCTTACAACACAACAAAAGAGAAAGTACGCAGTCACTCAAGACCAACTTTTTTTTTTTTTTTTTTTTTTTTTTTTTTTTTTTGAGACGGAGTCTTGCTCTGTCACCCAGGCTGGAGTGCAGTGGCCGGATCTCAGCTCACTGCAAGCTCCGCCTCCCGGGTTTACGCCATTCTCCTGCCTCAGCCTCCCGAGTAGCTGGGACTACAGGCGCCCGCCACCTCGCCCGGCTATTTTTTTTGTATTTTTTAGTAGAGACGGGGTTTCACCGTGTTAGCCGGGATCGTCTCTCGATCTCCTGACCTCGTGATCCGCCCGTCTCGGCCTCCCAAAGTGCTGGGATTACAGGCTTGAGCCACCGCGCCCAGCCCCAACTTTTAAATATACATATAAATATATATATATTTGGACCTTTTCATACTTTATATATATTTGAATCTTATCACACTTTGGGATTTAACTAAAAGTTTACAGGAAACATAGAGTAGAGACAAACATGCTTAAAAAAACACAAGGATTCAATCAGCAAAATTCAAAAATCTGGGAAATTCTTCAGGACACAGACTCCAGTTTCTTCAACAAATAAATGAAAAGACACAAATGAAGGGACATGAACTGAATCCAGCTGAGCTTTTTGGATCCTGATTTAAACAAATCAACTCTGAAAAAGCATTCGAGTCTGTCAGAAATAGTTCAATATTGACTATATATTTGGCAATATAATGCCATTTGTCTTGTTTTGTTCTAGTGCAGTAATGGTATTGTGATTATGCTTTTCAAAAAATAATTCTTATTTTTTAATAATATACACTGAAGCATGAAATTATGTGTCTGGCACCTGCTTTATTAATACAAAAACAGTGGGGATGCAGTTGGGGGAGTAGAATGGGTAGAAATGAAATTGACTATAGGTTGATCCTTGTTTAAGTTTGGTGATATGAGTTTATCATTAACTCATCCTCTATGTATGATTGAAAATTTCCATAATGTTTTGAAACAGAAACAGAGGATGGGATTATGCTGACTGGACCGTGCTAATCAGTTCATGGGTGAGGGTAAACATACACACATCTCATCACTCACTGTTACAGCTTAAGAGTTTTCCACTGGCCGGGCGCGGTGGCTCAAGCCTGTAATCCCAGCACTTTGGGAGGCCGAGGCGGGTGGATCACGAGGTCAGGAGATCGAGACTATCCTGGCTAACATGGTGAAACCCCGTCTCTACTAAAAATAAAAAACTAGCCAGGCGTGGTGGCGGGCGCCTGTAGTCTCAGCTACTTGGGAGGCTGAGGCGGGAGAATGGCGGGAACCCGGGAGGCGGAGCTTGCAGTGAGCTGAGATCACGCCACTGCACTCCAGCCTGGGAGACACAGCGAGACTCCGTCTCAAAAAAAAAAAAAAAAAAAAAAGAGTTTTCCACTATTCATATATTTGATAGTCATGTACTCACTTCGGCAACACAGATACATATTCTTGACAGTCATCAAATTAAAACGAAGGTTATCCTTTTTAAGCTCAAAATTGTAAGCAAAAACATGCATATATAAGGTTTCCTTTTTCTTAATCTTTTGTTTGTTTTTAATTTTTTAATGCAAAATGCTTAGGACATCTCTTGGCATGTAGCAAGAATTCCAAACAAATAAATCTGTTTGTAATACTGTAAAGTGAGGTAGGTGTATAACAACATGAGACATCATTTCCATCAGGAGAGTGGTGGGCAAAAAAAAAAAAAAAAAAAAAAAAAAAAAAAAAAAAAAAAAAAAAACTAAGGAACTCAATGGAGACTTCAATTTTATTTTAATTGCTTGGAATCTGAGGCGCACCTTCACTGATCTGGTTTATGTTAGAAAAATTGTAAATTGGTCAGCATCAGACACTTTCCCTTTAATTCAATCCTCCTGTCATCTATATTTTGGTAGCCTATATTCTGTGGAAGCATCAATCACAAGCCAACAGCTACTATTTTGTTTAAGTACGTGCCTTGGAATTAGTGAATTTCTTATTCATGGTCAGAATAAACAGCCTCACATACGTGGCGATAAGACTGAGAAAGGTCCTCCCGAAATCCATTCTTTACTCCACCTCATGCTTAAAATGCCAGTGTTGTAGTTTAAATAGTTAATTGTAACTAAAATACAACTACGCCACCCTGACAGGTCCTTAAGCTGTTAATCACCCAATTACCTACTTACTATGGATGTGTTTTATATTTTTAACTGGGAGAAAGCTTTGAGCGGGGTGGGGGTGGGGTGGGGGGGGGCGGACAAAAAAGGAAAGAATATGAAAAAGCACAGAGTGCCCGGGTGGGAATAGAGTAAGAGTTTTTGAGAAAAGGGACACCCAGAGAGAACGTCACATAATTCACAATTTGGCTTCAGACCAATTCAGGGTGCAAGGAAGCCATTCTTCTGCATCCTCGGCAAGCAATCTGAAAGTTTCCCCATAAACCGGCTTCCTGCCCCTGTGTATTTCCTACTTATCAATTAAAATCCCATTACCTTATGCAACATGTGTATGTCATGCCCTCTGGCAGCTGGATGTGCTGAATGTAAAGCCAGACTGACCTAAATAACCTGAGACTCTTTGCAAACACATTTTTATGTGGATTAGAAACATACTTCGGAAGATTTATAGGTCACTGACAGAAATATGTTTTTATGTATGCTCCCACTTTAATCTAGGCCTGGTTTAGACACGTTTCTTCTGAAAATTTAATTTTCACATCCCTGTCTACTGGAATGTCACAACATAGCTTTCCCATGCATCAGCATAAACAGAGAAATGGTAGCAAAGCAATCCACATCTAGATTTGTACTTGACAGCTGCAAAAAAAAAAAAAAAAAAAAAAAAAAAGTACTTTGGCACGAAGTCCACTAAAAATTCACATTCAACATTACAGAACTAAGGGAACATGAAGTTTACAAAGTCAATTTGACTTACTTTCTCTTTTTTGGTTTTGCATTCTCCAAATTAGAAACCCCCTGTAAAATAAAATAAAATAAAATAAAATAAAATAAAATAAATAATATAAGACAAAACTGTACCAAGAGATCCGAAACAGAATTCATTCATTTTCCACTATAATCCAAATGCAGTTCATTTAGCCTCTTCCCTAGCAAAAAGACTGATATGTTCCCTGTTGTATTTTAGTAATGTGTCACAGAAGTTTGGCTCAAATTTTCACCTTTTTTTTCCTTTCGTCTTTGTAACTTTGAGAAAGATAGGATGTTTCCTTTATTAACTAGGGCTTATACGTTATTTTAAGCTATTGCCAGTTTAAAAAAGCCCTTGCCAGTTTAAAAAAACAACAACAGGTCTTTTAAATTAAAACACCCAATTAAATCCTCATTATCTAAACCTTCTGTCCCTCCATCAATCCACCAAAACCAAGGAGACAGATACATACCACGGTGTGTTAGTTATATCATAGAGTGCCTTCATTTGAGAAAGATGGAAAGTAGCTTATCACAATACCCTGAGGGTGTTGAAATATATCTGTGATTCATCTGACCTTTTTCTTCAGACCCAGTGACAGTTGTGTAAAATCCCTTACACTTTGGGGAAAGAATTTATCACATTTTTCACCATCCTTGAAAGAGCTTAAACTGCCCTAGGCACCTTTAAAAGCCCTTCAGATTCTCTCTTTTTTATTCATCTACTCCTCCATTTAAAAAACATTTACTGAATATCTACATGAAAGGTAACCAATTGTGTTCTGGAGAGGCTCATTTGTTGGGCATGGCAGGAATTTACATACTAAAGAAAATTGCAACCAATATTCCACTTCTGAGAGGAAAAAACACAAATGCTAAGGCTAAGAGGAATGGTGAATGTAAACCGAAAAAAGGAAGTTTGATTTGATTATTCCAGTGTTAATAGTACCAGCCTGAGCACAGTGAAATCTAAGATAACCTTTCCCCAAGATAGTGATTGAAGGGGCCATTTATCTAATCTTTATTTTGTTTGTATCAAGATTTTTTTTTTTTTTTTTTTTTGAGACAGAGTCTTGCTCTGTCGCCCGGGCTGGAGTGCAGTGGCCGAATCTCAGCTCACTGCAAGCTCCGCCTCCCGGGTTCACGCCATTCTCCTGCCTCAGCCTCCCGAGTAGCTGGGACTACAGGCGCCCCACCTCGCCCGGCTAGTTTTTTGTATTTTTTAGTAGAGACGGGGTTTCACCGTGTTAGCCAGGATGGTCTCGATCTCCTGACCTCGTGATCCGCCCGTCTCGGCCTCCCAAAGTGCTGGGATTACAGGCTTGAGCCACCGCGCCCGGCCTGTATCAAGATTTTTAACTGCAGAGGACAATTTGGATATCTTATTTTCCTAGCGGTTGAGCAGAGCGTTACTAAAATCCCACGTGCTGAAACAGTCAGTCCCTGAACTTGAGGAGCACACATTACCAAGTTTGAAATACTTGTGCATAACCCACAGGACATTGCTTGTAGGGAAGAGGTGGCAGATGGGGGTTGTAGGTAAGGATGTGGGAGTCATGAATTACGCCCTAATGTGAGTTAGGATATCAACAGGCTTTTGAGGAGTTAATGGTCAGGTGGACCACTTCTTCCATTCTCTATGCTTTGTCATCCTGTACCCTAGAAGTACACAATCTCTATTCAAGGTCTTTTTTTGAAATGGTTTAGGTCTTGGGCCAGATCTCTCCAAACCTCAGATTAGAAGCTAATGGTGTTCCTTGCCCTGCAATCAGTAGCCACACACATTTAACAAGCTTTGTGACAATCGTGAGGAAAGAGGACAGCCACCCATCTTTGTAGTAGTGCTTTTCTGTTATATATATTTGGAACTTACTAGGAAAGAACAAGAAAGCTCCATGCTCCACCGTCTATGCAATCGGGACCAAATATGTCCTAATAGTCAAAATCCATCATCCTGAGTCTCATTAGTTTGTCATATGGGTTTAGATAAATCTCTTGGGATTATGAATGTTGCCCTCTTCAAAACAGAGTGTACCTTTTGTGAGAATAGACAAGATTTGCAATAAGGAATATGGGAAACATTCGATACCTTTTAATTTTTAATTATTCAAGTCACAGTATTTTGGAATCAACTTATATCAGCATTCCTCTGCCTTTGCTATCAAAGAGGTTAATTCCAGATGACTCACAAAATGTATATGCAGTTGAGCAAGAGAGTTTGAATCTAGAAAGAAGAAGTATTATGCAAACACAGTCTCCTGTATCACCTGGGTGAAGCTTTTGTTAATACAATTAGCTACAGGACCCACACAAAGCTTAAACACTTGTAACAGCTGATTGTGGTGAGAGGAACATAATTTGCTTCTGGTTTGAAGTTCGGAGACATCTGGACTGAGATTAAAAGAATTTCCTAAGACCACAAATTGAGATTGGTTACTTTTGCTATGCATGTTGTCACAATATTCTCTAGGGACTATCCACTTTGTTCTGGTTTTACTGGAATGGGGGTCATCCAATTTTTCCTCATGATGAATCAGTTTAGGTTTGGGAAATTTTGTTAAAAGACTTTCTTGTAATGAATATTTTGGGCAAAAAATTGAGCTGAAACTTCTTTTTAATCTCTATTAAGATGAAAGAGTTAGTGTAGTTCTCCTTAGGCAACCTGCTTCCTACAAGGTAGGGAGAGTCAAGCACATTAAATGTGGGTCTGGAGTGTGATTATGTGAGGAACAGGGATTACTTAAACAGGCCAACATCTACTTAATTAGAATAATAGGTCTATTCCCTCGGTGTTGCCTAGTTGTAGATTACTATTGAACTGGTTAAGCAATTTTTAGTACTGCTTATACCAGACTCAAAGCAGCTGTGGAAAATGTAAATGGCTTTCAATTCTGACTGCTGCGTACATAAGCAGACTGTCACGTACATTGGAGTTCATACCCTGGGTACTTTATTCCTAGAGGGGCAAGTCAAAGAAAGACTACATGCAGTTTTATTTTTAGAACCACAGCTGTGTGTGTGTGTGTGTGTTTGTGTGTATTCTACTCTGAATTCCAAAAGGAAGATACCACTTCAGAGAGTTATTTCAGTGAAATGAATGTCTAGTCCATTAATTTGCCATGAATACCGGGTAAAACTTACTCCTGTTAGCCTTCACTTCAGTACCCCTAAGTTAGGCAGTAATCATTTGTCTTACCTTTCATTCACTAGGGAATGTGTGGCTTAATTTTATTTTTCTCCCTAGCAATTGTTTGAAATTAAAAAGTGAAATGTAAAAAAATTATTACAAATGAACCAATAGAAACTAAGAAACATTTCCAGGCTGTGTTATTTTTAAGGTAAATGAAGGAAGGCTCTAAGAGCAAAGCACTTTCATGTATAAAATTAGGTCAAAGTTTTAAAAAATAGAAAGAGAAGATGTACCTTAAAAGAACAGATAAATTGTAGATATCAAATATATTTCTATTCTCATGCAGAGGTTACAGATGACTATCCTTTGGGATTGAGCCTAATATGTGCCTGTTTCTTGCTTTATTGGTTTTTAAACCTCACTTTCAAATTACAAAGTCAAAAGGAAAAATATGAATATGTCAGGAGTTGTTGCCTAGCTAACGGAAATGTGAAAGGTGATTCTGCACCAGAGAAAACTGATTGGCAGTAATCGATGATGCAAATCCCATGGTGAATTTTTAAGACTGTAGAGCTGATGCAAACTTTGATTTGAAAATGAAAAACTTGAGGCTCAAAATGATAAATGGACTCATTTAGGATCAAGCATATTGTGCTTTACCTTAATTAAATACTGGTGGATTTAAAAAATTTCGAATACATTTTTTTTTTTGGAATCATACAAGTCATTCATTTCTACATTCACATTTTATTCAACAAACACTTATTGAACATCTACTATGTACCAGACACTGTGGTAGGGGAGAAAAGATTTCTTTCCTCACCTATCACAAAGTTCATGGCTGATATTCCTATAACAAAAGAGACATTAGCAGGAGAAGATAATATACACTTATTTAATAAAAGTTTTATGTGGCATGAACCTTCAGAAATGAAGACTCTAAAGCTCAGAGAAAAGTGTATTTTTTTTGAATTGCCATGCAGAAATATGATTGGAGGACAAAAGGTATGATCTGATGGTAATAAACTGGAGGGAATTTAGCAAGGCCTGTTTGTTCAGCTTCTTCTTGGTCTCTCTGTGGGACATCCCTTTTCTCTGAGTATAGGGCAGAATACCTGTCATGAGAGAGCCTTCAGAGGAGGAGAAGGGGAGGGTAATTCACAGACGCGATCTTCTTAGATTTTATGGCCTGATTCCGGGTAGAAGGAGAGAGGGGGAATTATAATTCTATGGCCTGTTTCAGGGGAGAAAGGGGCAATAGAAATTTCAGTTTCTATGGTCCACTTTAGGAGAGAAGGGGCAAGAGAAGGTCAGAGATATCTTCCTGCTTCTGCTGTTTTCTTCATTTCCTTGACTTTAAGATACTCAGTAATAGGGTTAGGCTTTGTGTCCCCACCCAAATCTAATCTTGAATTGTAATCCCCAGGTGTTGAGGGAGGAATTTAGAGGGAGGGAACTGGGTCATGGGGGTGGTTTTCACTATGCTGTTCTCGTGATGCTGAGTGAGTTCTCACAAGATGTGATGGTTTCATAAGTGGTTAACAGTTCCTCCTACACATGCATTTCTCTCTCCTGCCACCATGTGAAGAAGGTACTTTCTGCCTGCTTCCCCTTCTGTCATGATTATAAGTTTCCTGAGGCCTCCCTCGCAGCGGTTTGACTAAGAGTCCATTAAACCTCTTTCCTCTCTACAGATTGCCCAGTTCTGGGTATTTCTTTATAGCAGTGTGAACATGGTCTAATACATTCAGTATGCCAATGTGTCATATTTTAAGGTAGCATTTCATGTGCCCCTCATTGTTTTAGAGGCAAAAAAGAATTGCAAGTAGTCTTTCTCTCAATTATCTATCACCAATAACTGTTGATCTCAGAATCCTATTAAATTCCATTTTTTTAGCTTTAAAGGTTAAATGAGTTA